GTAGGTTACTGTCACCGGGTCACCCCAGGGGGGGAAGTGTGCTGTCCTCTACCTGCTTCCCCTTGGTGGCTAAGTGGCTGCCATTCACCAAAGGCCACTGGACAGTCAGGACTGGGCCTCGTTGACAAGATTTGCGGGGCCTCACGGGATGGTGTGGAGCCGGCCCTTTCCCTCCCACCCCAACGAGACCCCGAGTTGCCACCAACAAAAGGCCTCTCTGGCTCCTGATCAAGCTGTTTAATGGCCATGATCCCAGAGACTCAGAAATAAATCTTGAAACCCAGCAGCTTTGGCAGAAATACGTCCAGTCCCTGAAGTAGGTTACTGGTGCTGGGCCACCCCAGTTGGGAAAGGGTGCTGTCCCTCCACCTGCTCCCTCTTGGCAGCCCTGTGGCCATCATCCTCCAGAGGCCACTGGAAAGTCAGGTTTGGGCCGCAGTGACGAGACACGTGGGGCCTCACAGGATGGGAGTGGAGCCAACCCTTTCCTCCCTGTCCCCGTGCGACTCTGAATTGCCATCCACTAACAGCCTCTCTGACTCATGATCAAGCTGCTTAATGAACATGATCCCAGAGACTCAGAAACAAATCTCAGAACCCAGCAGGTTATGGCAGAAATCCCTCCAGATTTGGTGGTGGTGGTGGTCCTCCCATTATTCATCGATTTGCTCAAGCAAGCCCAATAACGTCTCTATCGTGAGACTTGTTGTTACTGTGTTTGGCATATTGAATACATCACAAGTAGCTTGCCAGGCTTTGCCGTGTGGGCAAGATACTCTCTGTAGCTTGCCAGGCTCTCCGAGAGGGGCAAAGGAATCGAACCGGGCTTGGCCCTCCAGATTTAATTGTTAAAATTTTGGAATTTCAAAATCTCGCAGCCACTACTACAGCCACGCAACATCATATGTTATTCATATGCAGCAATAGAAAACAAATTGTCTACTATTGCCTTTTCAGCAGATCTGAGTGTTGGGGTAAAATCCCAAATAATATGGTGGGTCTGGTGTCAAAATATTGAATGTAATCAAAGTAGAGAGAAATGTGGAAATCATCTGTCCCACAGGTAGAGGGAAGGTGTGGGACGGGGTATATTGGGGTTTTGGGGGGTGCAGAATGGGCACTGGTGAAGGTACGGGTATTTCATTGTATGACCAAGACTTAAACCCGAAAGATTTGTAACTGCTTTCATGATGATCCAATAAATAAAATTATAAAAAATAGAAAAAATAGAAAAAAAAGATCATTGAAGAAATAGCTAAGAGGACAAAGAACCTCCAACTCCAGGCACATCTCTTCAATTCCACTGTTCTTTCTGCATTAACATACACCTAAGAGACCTGGGCCCTACAAAAACAGGATGAGAATGCTATTGTGGTCTCCCAAAGAGGAATCAAAAGAGCTATGCTTGGAGTATCATGCATCACTCAAGTGAGAGAAAGAATCCAGTATTCTGACCTCCGTTGACAATTGAGAATCAGGGATGCTGTCTCATTTGCCAAGGCATCGAAAATCAGATGGGCTGGACACATAATGCAATTTGGAAATGACCGCTAGCCTAGAGCCATTACCAACTGTATTCCAAGGGACGTCAAAAGATTGCATGACTGCCCACCTATGAGATAGTCAGACTTCTTTGTCAAAACCCTGAATGAACGGTTTGAGGCTCTTTGTGTTCCTGGAGCAAGCAGACTCCAATGTGCTGCATTAGCACGCAACAGGGATGAATGGAGACGTTACTGGCTCACGCTCAAACAAATCGATGGGTAACGGGATGTCAAGTAATCAAGTGATCAAATGATCAAGTGAATAATAAAAAATTTTTTAAAAGTTAAAAAAAAGAAATAAGGCCAAAAACTGTTTCAACAAACACTCCTAATAGTTCTATAACAAACTAACTTTGAGAACCTCTAGTTTTAAATTTCTATGTACACTCTAGCTTCTAAATTTACAATGAATAAGTACTGATAAAAATAATGTATGTATACAGTCCTTTTTATGTTGTACATAAGATATTTATTCATTTTCTGGGTACTCAATATTCACATGTTTTTCTTCCTCTCAATTCACAGGAGCAAACCTTCGCACCTGATTTAAATGAATGCAAGAATATGATAATTGAATTCAATCTCTTTTTTCTTTGGTTTGAGGCCCACACATGGCAGTGACCGAGGGCTACTTCTGGATAACTCCTAGAAGTGCTGAGGGCACTTTATGTGTATGCCAGGGGAAAAACTATGCCCCCTGAATGCAAAGCATGCACTTATTCCATTGAGCTATTTCTCCAGCTCTGGATTTTGTATTGATAATCAAGACATATGAACAATTTGTAATATGCTATACTTTGCTTCATAGAAACCACTTCTTATAAAAAAATACCAATTATTTGGGTCAAAACTGTAACTTGTCATATAAGCTCATGAATGGTCATGATCCAGAAACTCACAAATAAACCTTGGAAGAGAGCAACAAATGCAGAGATGCCTCCAGACCCCAAAGTCACCATCTGGTTAAAAAATTAATTCTGGCTGTATCACCCTATTTAAAATTTTAGAATTCCTGGAACAATGTCTCATACTCTAAACCAATGATGGACCAAGAGTAACATACCACATTTAATGAGGTTTAAAGTAGAAGGCAGTCAATATTGATTAAAAAAAAAATATATATATATATACATATGGGTATATATATACATATGGGTATATATATATATACACATATATACATCAGCACACAAAGCTCCACCTGTAGAAATATATTAGTAATCTCTAGTAATCTCTTACACATGGGTTTAATGGCTCCAGACTGAAATACTACAATCTTCGCACACTTTCCTCTAAGAAATTTCTTTAGCAAGTTATTCATAAGTGATACAAAATAAATTATTTAGGTTCATCTTTGGGGCCAGGCTTTGGTGGGGATGGAAATATTTGAAATATGGTAGTGGGAAGGCGTAATGGTGAGATTGGGATTGAAATATTGAATGTAATAAATTACTGTGAACAACATTAAAAAAATGTGGCTAGTGGGACCAGAGTAATAATAGAGCAATTAGGGTAATTTGCTTTGCACTTAGCTCACCCAGGTTCAATCTCTGGCATCCTCTATAGTGCCCCAAGCACCACCAGGAGTGATTCCTGAGTGCAGAGGTAGGAATAAACCCTGGGCACTGCTGGGTGTAGCCAAAAAAAGAGGGAGGGGGAGGGTGGAGCATGTGGCTTATTGGTAGAGCTCCCACATTGCATTCATGAGGTCCTATGTTGGATCACTAGTGCCACAGAATTCATATGTGTGGGGGCGGAGCAATGACACAGAGAGTAGGGCGTTTTCCTTGCACGCAGCCAACCCGGGTGTGATCCTCGACATCCCATATGGTACCCCAAGCACCGCCAGGAGTAATTCCTGAGCGCAAGAACCAAGAGTAACCCCTGAGCATTGCTGGGTGTGACCCAAAAAGCAAAAAAAAAAAAATTCATATGTGTGTGTGTGTGTGTGTGTGTAAAGAGGACACTGACATATATAAGTATTTTAAAATACTCCTTTATCAAGTTCAATAAATGAACCATATTCTATTTAAAGCAAAAATAATTTAGGGTAAATGGAAATACAATAATAGTTATAATTAAGAATAGGTTTCAGTTTTCTATCTTCTTAAGATCTAGGTAACTGATAACAAGTAAAGGGACACATTCCATCTTGGAACTGCCTGCAGCCCAACTCAGGCTGTGTAGTTCCTCCATAAGCCTCTCTCCTATGTTTGGAGAAATTTAGTTTTTCTTTCTTTGGGTCTTTTTTTTTTGTATTTTCTTTTCTCTCCCTTTTAATAAAATGTATTTACTAAAATGATTAATAAATGAAAGAAGAAAATAATTCTTTTTTTTTTTCGCTTTTTTTTTTGGGTCACAACCCGCGATGCTCAGGGATTACTCCTGGCTCATGCACTCAGGAGTTACTCCTGGCGGTGCTCAGGGGACCATATGGGATGCTGGGAATCAAACCTGTGTCGGCCATGTTGGCTGCATGCAAGGCAAACACCCTACCCGCTGTGCTATCGCTTCAGCCCCAATAATTCTTATTTAATGCTTCAATTATACTTATTTACTTATAAATAGCCAATTGCATGCATTGAAAGTCCATTTTTAGAGGGTCTTTTAGAAGCAAGGTAATATGGTCATTGCAATGGCAACTTGTAGAGAAGAATAATCTCATTTTAGGTGAGTGCACTTATGAGCTCTGCTTATTGGGTAGTTCTCCTTGTCTAAGCAGTTTATTTGGTTACGTATGTCACCAAAATGTGCAGTATTTTATGGCTATTTCACTTCAACTAATTTTATTTTATCATTCTAAATGAAATGAACTACTTGTATCCACGAAGACTACTAAACTCTCTGACATTTTCCAATTTCATAAAATGATTATGAAATGCTGAAGAAATACTAAAAATGCTTTATTTCTGTTATTTTCCCTTTTATAACTTTTATATCCTGACGCAAAGGACATTAAAATTTCCTTTAATCTTTGCTAACCTAATGATAAAGTTCTCAATGCAACTTTGAATAAAGTTAAAAACTGTTTATTATTTTGAATGCTTTCTTTAATGTAATATTTTCCTATATTACATTACATAATGCACAAATACATATTAAATACCATATCCTTTGAAAGTTTTTCTGCTGTACACAAAGAGAAAAACAACAAGAATTAATTTAGTCTCCACATGCAATTCTGTCATGGTAGATATTTTACTTAGTAATAGATTAGTTTACTCATAAGTAGTATTTTATTTGAACCATATTTTAAGAAATGGTTTTAAAAGTTTTATGTGTTTCTCTTCCTATTCTGCCTTGAATTAATGAAAAGAAAAAGGAAATCATCAATCTTCATTTTTTAATCCACAATATATCCATGTAAAACAAATATATACTTTTGAAAATTATTCAAAAGAGAGAAAAATAATTTTCTTGAAGCCTTCTCTGAACTGTTTTTCTCCTTTGTTACAGGTATTTTGTTGTTCAGCTAGATTAATCTTTTGAAAACAAAAAAAAATGGATTTCTTAAACTCCTCTGACCAAAATTTAACCTCAGAAGAATTGTTAAATGGCATGCCATCCAAAATTTTGGTGTCTCTCACTCTCTCCGGACTGGCCCTGATGACTACAACTATCAACTCTCTCGTGATTGCTGCAATTATTGTGACCCGAAAGTTACACCACCCAGCCAACTATTTAATTTGCTCCCTTGCAGTTACAGATTTTCTTGTCGCTGTCCTGGTGATGCCTTTCAGCATTGTTTATATTGTGAGAGAGAGCTGGATTATGGGGCAAGTGGTCTGTGACATTTGGCTGAGCGTTGATATTACATGCTGCACATGCTCCATCTTGCATCTCTCTGCTATAGCTCTGGATCGATACCGAGCCATCACAGATGCTGTTGAGTATGCCAGGAAAAGGACTCCCAAGCATGCTGGCATTATGATTACGATTGTCTGGATTATCTCTATTTTTATCTCTATGCCTCCTCTAATCTGGAGGCATCAAAGAATTAATCGAGATGATGAATGTATCATCAAACATGACCACATTGTTTCCACAATTTACTCAACATTTGGGGCTTTTTACATACCATTAACGTTGATTTTGATCCTCTACTACAAAATATATAAAGCAGCAAAGACGTTATACCACAAGAGGCAGGCAAGTAGAATCGTCAAGGAGGAGCTGAACGGCCAAATCCTTTTAGAAAGTGGTGAGAAGAACACTAGACTGGTCTCGACACCCTACTTGCTAGAAAAGTCTTTATCTGATCCATCAACAGACTTTGATAAAATCCAAAGCACAATAAGAAATCCCAGGTCTGAATTAAAGTATGAGAAATCTTGGAGAAGGCAAAAGATCTCGGGCACAAGAGAGCGCAAAGCAGCTACTACCCTAGGACTAATCTTGGGCGCATTTGTAATATGTTGGCTTCCCTTTTTTGTGAAAGAATTGGTTGTTAATATCTGTGAAAAGTGTAAAATTTCTGAAGAAATGTCAAATTTTTTGACATGGCTTGGTTATCTTAATTCCCTTATAAATCCGCTGATCTATACAATCTTTAATGAAGACTTCAAGAAAGCATTTCAAAAACTTGTGCGATGCCAATGTTAGATTAAAGGAGTCTCATTATAAAAAAAGATTTTCTGAAGTGAAGAATAAATAAATGCTAAATAATAAAAAATTGAAACATTGACAAGGAAATAAATCACTAAAATGATAAGAAGATGATTTACATTCTATAGCAACATAAAGGCAATTTACTGATTTAAACAGTTTGACTTAATCATTCTAGAGTGCACAAAATTAGAAAAAAACATGCTTAGAATAATATTTTGTCTATAAAATATTTTGTCTATGCAATATTTTTGTTCTTAAAATGCTAACTAAACTACATATTGATATGTATATACATATATAAAATTATTATTAACAGAATTTTATAGCTTGTCTCACAATTACAGACTTTTCAATGAACAACATACCTCCATAAGTAAATTGTATATATATATGATCATTTTGTTCATTATACAATTCTGGTTTCTTTTTTATAGAAAAGATATCATTTACTCAAAGCACATATTTCTCCTAGATAAATACTACTATTCCATTTCCATCTTACCCTGAGCAAAAGAAGGAAGGAGAAGATAAAGAGAAATCTTATTTGATACAATGGAAAAAATGTAAAAGTCAAAGAATATACTGTCATTAGATAGTGAAGAGTAATCATACAGAAAGATACTTAAAAATAATTTTAGATACTGAACTTGTGCATATTTAACATATTTTTGTCTAATATCAGTTTCCAAAACAATTTTTTCTTACTCATCTATTATCAACATTTGAAATCTGTCTTAGCAGAGGTTTTCTAATTATATCATGTATATTTCAGATTCAATTTGAAGGTACTAAGTACCCTAGATTACTCACTCTAGTAATCATACTTCTAATGACTTTTAAAATTATAAAATAAAAAATATAAGAAGTATTTATTTCTGATTATTTGAGTAAGTTCAGTTTTTAACCAAAATGTTATAATGTTCAGTTCAACAGCTTCATATCTTGAATTGAAACAGCATTTACTTTTTGATGAAGAAAATGGGATAGGTTCTCTGGAACTTTGCATTGACCTCCCTAGTAAAGGTTCTTTACAGATAGATAGATAGATAGATAGATAGATAGATAGATAGATAATAGATAGATAGATAGATCTTTCAGTCATTCCAGTAATCTGTGGAGCCAAAGCAATTCCATAGTTTCTAACCATACTTATATAAGCAATGAAAACAACAGAATCTTGCTGCTAAGGTTTTATTTCATTTGAATTGGCAAAGTCATAGAACACATTTCAGAAGGTCTATCCTCAACCAAGATCACTTGAAAAATGATACATTTATTTTTCTGTTAAATATATACCTTTAGGTATATTCTTAACACAAGTTTGCATCCCTAAATGATGAGATACACTCTAAGAAATGTGTTGTTATATGATTTCATCATTGTATTAGTGTCATACAATGCAGTTGCCTAAGCCTAGGTGGCGGAACATTACATATAAGAACCAATAATATTAGATCTATCAATATGTGGCACATGACTGTATTTTTTCCTGGTGAGGTGCTTAAGATTATATCTCATTAATGTTTTATATGAGAGTGTTCACAATATAACAGATATTTATAAAGTTCTTATTTTATATGAGGTATTAAGATGTACTAGGTAAAAAATAGAGAAAATTTAATAGTACAGTCTATTCCATTCATATGTATACAATCTAAATATGAAACTGAAAATGAGCACTATAATGAAAAATGGAAACAAAGATCTGGAATGTAGATGATAAAGTTATGGGGATTTTCATAAGAAAAAATCACATTGAGAAATATAAAGAATGTATTGAAAATAGATATTAAATTAATGGCATTTAGACAAGAGAGAAGTAGAGCATTTTCCAGGTAATGACATCAAAATTTCAGACTTTAGTTCCAGGGACGTATTTCAGCAGTAGAGCATTACTTTTCACGTGTGAGGCCCTAGATTCAATAACTAGCACTGCAAAAAAACAGAAGCTAAAACCGTTCCAATTTCACCCTTAAAGCATTCGCTGAATGCATTCATAAAATAACAATGAGTTTGACAGCTATTCAGAGCAATAGGAGAAGAGATGAAGAGAAATAACCAATTTAAATAATGATTGCTGTTAGAAAACAAATCAATAAACCAGTCAATGGGTGACTGAAGTTCTGAAATTGATTCTGGCATTGGGAATGTAATGGAAGAAATAGATGAAAGATACTGTGGATATGGAATCTAAGGTAGAAGCAAAGACTTTAATAAAGAGGCAAAAAGGGAGAGATGACTCACTTAGATAACTTGTCCTCAAATGACACAAGGAACTCAAGATAAGAACTTACTGGTGAAAGGTAACTTCTGTTTTGGGTGCTTTAAGGACATAAAGACAACTTGGAATCATAGACACTACTAATAACAATCCAACCTACGTAAGATTAACAAAGATTCATCTAAAGCTCCAATTACCTCATTGTTTCCTCTAGTTTATTCTTCTATCACCCTTTGACTAAGTTGATATTCCAAAAACTGTTCTTTTCTATCATTCACTGCTTATTTTTCTTTCTCCTTTTTAACAAAATATAATTCTGTGGGTAATCATTCTTCAATAAACTTAAAATAATTTGTTTATTTACTCACACCCACTTCAAAAATGTATGTGTTTATATTGGCAAATTCTAAGAGATTCAGATTGTAAACCCAATAGAGCAAATTCAAGCAGAGTGACTCATCCAAATACATATACTACCCTTCTATTCCGAAGCACAAATATTGGAAAAATAGTACTCAAGTCACAAGGAAGCCAATATTTCTTTAGAACTTCTAGCAGAATCAAGTTTTTTTAGTACATAAAGCATTTTTTGTACATAAAGCATTTTTAATCCAAAGAGGCTCAAGCATATTATAGTAATCATCACTTCTTCTGTGTTTCCACATACTAAAAGTACAAATCATACCATCCCTCATGAACTAAATGAATGATTTTCTTTATTATCTTTGATTGTGTGTGATCTAGGGATTAATATCTATAATTAATACTTTTTTAAAAATTTATGAAGAACAGGTTACATATCACAGTGATATACTACTTCCCTGAACATGTAGGAATGCTATAATGAAATAAATGTCTTTCTTTCTGTTGTTGTTTTTGTTTTTGAGCCATACCTAACTATGCTCAGGACTTAAGCCTGGCTCTGCACTCAGGAATCACTACTGGAGTGCTTAGGGATGCCGAGGATGGAACCTGGCTTGACCATCATGGCAAATGCCCTGTCTCCTGTACTATCTCTCCAGCCTCAGGAAGAAATTTTCAGTGAACATTTTCCTAGTACTGAAAACTGAGAATTTTTTCAGAAATACAATTTAATATCTATAACAAATGTAGCAATACAATGTATTTAATTGATGCAGTTGAGTGAAAATATATAAACATCATATGAAACGGTTCAATGTTAGATAAAGTTACGTTCCTGCTACAATATTTTTTAAATTTTATTTATTGAATCACAGTGAGATACACAGTTACAAGGTTGTTCATGATTGGGTTTCAGTCATATAATGTTTCAATACCCATCACTGCACCAGTGTACATTTCCTAGCACCAGTATTCCCAGTTTTTCTCTTGCCCTTTCACCCCTTGCCTGTTCTCTGTCTCTATCTACCTGTTTGTCTGTCTGTCTCTCTCTCTTTCTCTCTTCTTTCTCCTTTTGGGCAAGATTATTTGTAATACGGATACTGAAAGATTATCATGTATATCCCTTTACCTATTTTCAATACTCAGTTCTTGTCCAGAGTGAGCATTTCTATTGATTACTGTCATACTGGTCCCTTCTCTATCCTAACTACCCTTTCACACACACACACACACACACACACACACACACACACACACACACACACACACACACACTTGTGGCAACTTCCAACCACTGACTCATCCTCCTGACCCCCCTGTTTTTCCTAGCCTTGGATATTAGTCTCAATATTGTTTTTTATTATCCCACAAATGATTGCAGTCTTTCTATATCTGTCCTTCTCCTTCTGGCACAATTCACTTAGCAAGATACTATCCATGTCCATCCATTTATTACTGCTGCAATTTTAAATGCATCTACACCAGAAAGTTTTATCTTTGCTCAAATTCTAAATATTTTTGAATAGGAAATATATGAAAGGTAGGACAAAGCATGAAATACACATAAAAAAATCAAGCAACTGGGGCCAGAATGATAGTGTGAGTAAGGCACTTGCCTTATACACGGCTGGCCCAAGTTCAATTCCCAGGACCTTATAGTGTCCCCCAAGGTCACAATAAGTGATCCGTGAGCATAGAACCAGGACTTAAACCCTAAGCACAACTGTGGCCCAAAAAATGTTTTAAAAACCAAGCTACCAAATAATAAATTTAATCCAATACTTTTATATTCAGTATAGCAATGTACAAATCATGTTTGAGAATTTACTTTTATTAATGAATTATGGGTTTTGTTATTATAGTTTTGGTAAGAATCTGGATTGCCTACTTACTACTTTTTTTGTCTTGTTTCAAAACAGACCCTCTGGATAAAGTCAGTAACATTAGCAGGTAATCCAGGTATTGGGTGCCCATCTTTGCATTGGACACCCTTTCATTTTGGATCCTCAAAACCAACTTTACTTCCTCTTCTTATAAACTTAATTATCTCCACCCTACCTTCTACTCTAAAGTAAAAACAAAAACATCCTTGCAAGTGAAGAAAAGCTTCTTTGTGTCTTATTTTCAAATTCTTCTCTGTATCAATTACATAAATTCTCGATTTTTAATTCCTTTAGTAGAGCACAATCTCCATAGTTTCAGGCTAAATCTTAAACTTCTCCCATCTGTATACAAGAATTTTGTGTCAAAAAGAGATAGAAGGGGCTGGAGAGATAGCACAGCAGATAGGGCAATTGCCTTGCACGCGGCTGACCCAGGTTCGATTCCCAGCATCCCACTGGTCCCCTGAGCACTGCCAGGAGTAACTCCTGAGTGCAGAGCCAGGAGTAACCCCTGTGCATTGCTGGGTGTGACCCTCCCCTAAAAAAAAAAAAAGGACATGGAAAATCACTGAGATGCCCATCCTCTGAAAGAGTATTCAGTTGTTTTACCAACTCTAATGAAAATGCAAATGCCACAGTCAGGAGTAATTCCTGAGTGCAGAGCATCGCAGTGTATGGCCTTCTTTTAAACTTGTAGTTAGAGTATCAGGTTTAATGCATTTCAGTTGAGAGAAAATTTAATGTATTTTCTTTATAATATGAAATTCTTTTCTTTTTTTTTTTCTTTTTGGGTCACACCCGGTGATGCTCAGAGGTTACTCCTCGCTCTGCACTCAGGAATCACTCCTGGCGGGTGCTCGAGGGACCATATGGGATGCTGGGAATCGAACCAGGTTGGCCACGTGCAAGGCAAATGGCCTACTCGCTGTGCTATCACTCCAGCCCCCAATAATATAAAATTCTTCAAAGTAATCTCATCCAATTCAAAATATACTCTCATTAATTCATTTTAGAAAATATTCTTAGTAATCCACTAATAACTAAAACGATTCTATTCGGACCTTTACTTTTCCAAAAACTGTTCTAAGGGAAAGTTAGTATTTTTGTCATGAATTAAAATGGTTTTTCTTATGACTCTGTGATCATGTTTATGATCTTGAAAATCATTCTTATTTCTCAAATTATTTAAAATGAGAAAGTTATTGAGGGAAATGTTTTATATTATTTACATATAATATTTTCTCTATACAAGCATAATGGAACTTGACATTAATATAGGAAGAATAAAATTTTTCAAAGCATTTATGCTCCAGAATTAGCCTAGAAGTCATTAGAATTCTAAGAGAAAAATGTTGCATAATATTCTTTATTATAATAGTAGCAACAATACTGTGAAAGCTTGTCTCTGCCACAGTTCCAATTCCTACTTCTGCAAGAGCAATAAGGTGACTTTATACTTTAGGTAGACAGAGCAAAGCTGACTGTGTCTTTCTGACTATGTTCTACAGTATTCAAATTATTTTACTAGTTCTAAACAATGAATAGTATTTATTCCCAAAAATCCTTATATTATGCATTATATTGAGTCATTATAATTATTAGATGTTGTAATTCTATAGCTGGGTCTCCTGTCATGGGATTTTCCCCTCTCTAAAAAAAATTTACTTTCCTCTTTCCCTCTCTCCACCAAAATGCGTATTGATATTTCCTCTCTGGTTAGGATTCCAGTGGATCTGTGACCCTAACTCTGTGTGTGAGTGTGTGTGTGTGTTTCATTTTGAAAATCTTATAAACGATTAAAATGGATTTTTTTAAAGCATTTGCTCGAGCGGGCCCAGTAATGTCTCCATTGGAGACTTTGTTGTTACTGTGTACTGTTAAACGTGAAGATAAAAGAGCAAAAAGTTAATCCTCAACAGGGTTTTTTTTTTCTTTAAACTTATGAGATGATTATTACAAAAACATAGTCCAAAGCCTGAAGAGATTGTACAGCAGGTAGGGCATTTACCTTGTACACAGCCAGACAGATTCAATCTCCTGCCCCTCATATGGTCCCCACTTCCCTCAAGGAGTGATCCCCGGACACAAAGCAAAATAGTTCCTGAGCACTGCTGGGTGTGGTCC